AACTTACGTTGCTTTAGGACCTCGAATGCTGCCTTCAGTGTGCTGAGAAAACAAACACATACTTATTGGTATAGTGTCCTAATGACAGACTGTGAATCTAACAAAAAATAATCCACTACAAGACTTTGACTCTCAAAGAAACACAGTAATAAATAAAACGTTTAACAGCCCAATCAAAAAAATTGACCATGCAAATGGGAGAGATTACATTTATAGGTTATCATTAGGCCATGCAATAAAAAGCTTCATTAAATTAAAGAATTAAAGTCTTCTGCTTCTGAACTCCAGGTGCACCATACTCTTTAACCCCTCAATATTAGTTATTAAACATGTTAATATAAAATTGTCTGTACTAATGTCTATACCAATCCACACATGTAGTACTTTGCCCACCCAGTATGGGGTGTAATCTGCAAATTTGATAGAAGGACTCTCCACACCAAATTCCATGTCATTAATGAACATATGAACTAATACTAGAGCTAGAGCCTGGACTAACTAGGCCAGAGTACCTCTCTAATATGATAGACTCATAGACTTTAAGGTCAGAAGGGACCATTATGATCATCTAGTCTGACCCCCTGCACAGTGCAGGCCTCCTAGAATAATCCTCTCACCGATATCTCAGATTTTGAAACCTTCAAATACTTTGAAGACCCCAAGATGCAGAGAATCCTCCAGCTGTGATCTGTACCCCATGCTACAGAGGAAGGCAAAAAACCTCCAGGGCCTCTGCCAATCTACCCTGGAGGAAAATTCCTTCCCGACCCCAAATATGGCGATCAGCTAAACCCTGAGCATGTGGGCAAGACTCACCAGCCAGACACCCAGAAAGTTCTCTATAGTAACTCCTATCATCCCTCCATTGACCTATTTACCACTGATAATGAATGGTCAATTAGTTATCAAGATCATGTTATCTCATCAAACCATCCCCTTTCTGGCTAAACTAAGGGATTTCTTACACACGTGGTCCAAAGCCAGAGGAGTGAGGGAGAAAGCTGGGAATGAACCCTTTTCTCTTCACACACAGTTTAGATTTCACTCAGTAGTCTTTCTCAGAATAAGCAGGGGACTGGAAGCCAGACTGTGATCCCTGCTCTAATACTCATTTACTGTGTAATCTTAAACTTAAAAAAACAACAAATGGTCTGGTAGCACTTTAAAGACTAATAAAACATGTAGATGGCATCATGAGCTTTCATGGGCACAGTCCACTTCTTCAGATGACCAGAGAGTTGGATGTCCAGGACCAAAATAAATAAGGAAGAAAGGGACGGGGTGGAAGAAGGAAAAAATGGAGGGGGAGACTAGAAGAGGCAGTGGGTAAAAAATATCAAGGGGAAAGCCAAGCTGGAATGGAATAGGAAAAATAAAAAGTCGACCATTGGGGCCCTCGTCATGCAGGTATGGCGTTCTTGGGCTATTTTCCCAGGAGTGGGGTGAACTGCTAGGATGCGGAACCCTAGGGAAAGGAGGGGTTGGGGGTGGAAGGGATGGTGGGGGAAGCCCCCTTTCCTGGGTGGTTTTTCAGTCCCGCCCTCACACAGCCCTGCTAGGGGATGGGCTACAAAGGGGTTGCTCCTGATGTGTGTGGGGAAAGGCGGGGCTCGAGGACCTCCCAAGGGCTCTGGCACCTCAGTGATTCTCTGTTTGTTTCTTCTACAGGTCAACACTGTCCTGCTGCCCAGAGTCATCCACCTCAGCACCCACATCCCCATCCAGGCCCCTGACCCCTGGGCATTTGTCTATTATCAACCACAAGGGGTACTTCTCCATGGTCCTGCAGGCCTCATCAAACACCATGGGCAGTTGACTGATATCTACATCGGGTGGTTGGGGAAGGTGCATGACGTCTGGGTGTTCCAAAACTCCAGCATCTTCCAGAAGCTGGAAGCCGGCACTTTCTTCCCCAACTGCACCATCAGTGTTGGAGACACGGACATGCCACTCTGTATCATGATGGATGCAGCCTGCCCTCTGTTGCCCTGGCTCATGAAGCCCTAGATCAACCACCTTGACCACTCAAAGGAACGCTTCAATGCCAGGCTCAGCTGGTGGAGGACGCCTCTGGGCATCTCAAGGTGAGGTTCAGATTCCTCCTCACCCAGCTGGACGTAAGAGAGCAGAACATCCCACAAATGGTGGCTGCGTGATGTGTGCTCCACAATATTTGTGAGAGGAAGGGGGAGACGTTCCTCCCTGGGTGGGTGGGCAGAGGCAGGCCGGGTCAGAAGGGCTTTTGAGCAGCCACGCATAGCTGTCATCCAGCAGGCCCATCAAGGGGGGGGTGCCTCACAAGGACCCCAGTGACACTCTCCCCAGGGCCTCCCCACTGCCTTGCCCCTCTCTGCCTGTCCTCCAACACCCCTACTTTCCCCTTTTTCCCTGCCTCCCCTGCAGAGACACTAAAACAGACAGTTTTGGAAACCATAAACTCTGTGTGGTTTTTATTTGGGGTCAAAGTAATTGGGGAGGGACTGAGGAAAGATCCTGGGAGAGGAAAGTGCGGGAAAGGAGGGGGGGAATGAAGGGTAAGGGGAGGCTCAGGGCTGGGATTGGGATTGGCAACTGGCGCAGTTGATTTCACCACCTCGTGTGCAGGGATCTTGGCAACCATGGGCCATGGGGAGGCTAGGGGGAGAAGCAGGAGGTGGAGCTGAAATAGGGTCAGGCATAGGAAGTGGGGCAGGACCAGGAGCTGGGGCTGGGTCTGGAGCAGGAGCGGCAGCAGGAGCTGGAGCAGGCTCCAGGCGGGTGAGGAGAGACTGAACGGCTGTGCATATGGTGCACTCCCTCTTGGTCTCTTTCTGCAATTGCATGTCTTCCTGGAGCCTCTGGTCCAATGTCTCATGCAGGGCTCAGAACACGCAGATGCGCTTCTGCAGCAGTTCCTCCTGTGTTCTCCAGTGCCTGCTTGTCCCCCTGTGTTGGGTGGCTGCCTCGGGTGGTGTCGCCCACTCCCCTTTGGCAGCTGGTCTGCCTGAGGAGAAAAGAGATGGGTCAGTCATCCCTTGAGACACTGTCCCTGAAGCCTTGCCCTCATCTGTGAGCTGAAACTGACAGTTCTTAGGTCAGATGAAGGTGATGTCATGAGAGCAAGGCCACGTGTGGCCTGGACAGCAGGCCCTTTCTTTCAGAGGCTCAGATGTCCCCAGAGGAGCTTGGTCCCTCCCCTTGCTCCCTCTTACACACACATCCCGAGGACAAGCAAACATGGGAAGTTGCCAGCCACACTGGGATCCTATGGGTGGGAAGGGGGCTTTGGGCTGACCTTCTTGCAATGCATACGCCGGGTCTGGCAGTGGGAGCATTCCAAGGGAAGAGAACTTGTATCCCTGGCTGCTAGGGTATAGCCAGACATGAACCCTCCCTGTAACATCCATCTTTGCTTGCCTGGAAGCATATAGGGCACACAGAGTAGTAAAATCAGCATAGTCTCTGAAGCCTTGACAGGAGGCCCAGATATGCCAGCTCACCCAGTGACCCTGGACAACAGTAAGCAGAGATAAGAAGGTGGTCGAACTAATCACTGACCAAGAGGCTGAAGAGGAGTGGACAAACAGCTGATCGGCAGAGTGGGGCAGCCATTTAAATTTAAATGAAGCCG